GTCTCTCTCTGGTCTCTCTCTGGTCTCTCTCTTTGGTTTCTCTCTCTGGTCTCTCTCTCTGGTCTCTCTCTCTGGTCTCTCTCTGTTCTCTCTCTCTGGTCACACTCTGGTCTCTGGTCTCTCTCTGGTCTCTCTCTCTGCTCTCTCTCTCTCTCTCTCTCTCTCTAGTCTCTGTCTCTCTCTGGTATCTCACTGGTCTCTCTCTGGTATCTCACTGGTCTCTCTATGGTCTCTCTCTGGTCTCTCTCTGGTCCTTCTCTGGTCTCTCTCTGGTCTCTCTCTGGTATCTCACTGGTCTCTCTATGGTCTCTCTCTGGTCCTTCTCTGGTCTCTCTCTGGTCTCTCTCTGGTCTCTCTCTGGTCTCTCTCACTGGTCTCTCTGGTCTCTCTCTCTGGTCTCTCTCACTGGTCTCTCACTGGTCTCTCACTGGTCTCTCTCACTGGTCTCTCTCTGGTCTCTCTCTCTGGTCTCTCTCTCTGGTCTCTCTCTCTGGTCTCTCTCTCTGGTCTCTCTCTCTGGTCTCTCTCTCTGGTCTCTCTCCTGTCCGTGTGTAGTAAACTCTCCGCTGTCACGTGTTGTTGCGTGTGCTGTGGATGAAAAGACTCGCTGAAGCGTGATCAATGCTTTCGCCGCTTCATTTCTCAGTTTGAGTCGAACTGTTTGAAGACGGACAGGAGGCGATGGGTTCTATAGATCCAGCCGTAAACACCAGCACAGGGGTTTGGTCTCTCTGGTCTCTCTGGTCTCTCTGGTCTCTCTCTGGTCTCTCTCTGGTCTCTCTCTGGTCTCTTTCTCTCTGATTCGCTGGTCTCTCTCTCTCTGATTCTCTGGTCTCTCTCTCTGATTCTCTGGTCTCTCTCTCTCTCTGGTTCTCAGCTCTTTCTCTCTGGTCTCTCTCTGGTTTCTCTGGTCTCTCGCTCTCTCTCTGTGTCTCTGGTCTGTCTCTGGTCTCGCTCTCTCTCTCTAGTCTCGCTTTCTCTCTCTGGTTCTCTGGTCTCTCTCTCTGGTTCTCTGGTCTCTCTCTAATCTCTTTTTTTTTATAGTAGTATTTGTACATTCTCTCCATCACAGCCATAACAATTATAGTCCATTCCAGCGTTTGTACAAAACATTTTTAAATAACATTTATATGACCGCATACACTTTGGGACTTCGCTCTCTCATCTTTGGCCGTGGTTCTCTCTCCTCTGACACTTTCAGCCTAAACCACGGGTCTGTGAGCTGCTGTGTTGACGATGGATGAGTCAAAGTCCTTTTGTGGCGAGCTGAAAGACCCCTCTGGTCTCGGTCAGACTTGTCCGGATCTGACGTGGTTTTTGTCCGCGGGGTTTTGGCCACGGCTCCGGACCCTGCTGTTGTTTTTGTGGGTTTCTCTGTGAAAGGAGCAGGTGGAGGTGAAGGGTCCAGAGCAGGGGGTGCAGTCTCAGGCCACCTCTGGAACAAGCGTCTGCCTGCAGCGCTGCTTTCACCCAGCAGGGGGCGCGCTGTCGGGTCGTTTGTCACTGGCCTCATTCAGAAATATCCTCAAGACACAGACACAGATGGTCAATGCTCCACTGCAGCAAAGGAAGTAGTACTGGCTTCAATCGAATGGTTTTTATCTTAATTGTTAGTTTTTGATGTGCGATACCTGCTCTCTCTACATTTTATCTTCAGCTATTCAGGCTTTTTAAAGATCTGTATTTCCTCATTCCATGTGACACATTTGTGTATCTTTTATAAAACAAACCCATTTTGCTTTGTCCCGTTGGAGAATCTTGTTTTAAGGCTCAGTCGAATGTGCTCAAAATAAGACACATTTTCACCAATTTGAGAACTTTTTTGCAGTGTCTTTTGAATTCTGCTTAAAAAAATAGTTTTATGTTTTAAAGTAAATATCCTGAAGATCCTGTTTTAAGGGCTATAATCAGGGGTGCACATAAGTGGTACGCATGCGTGACAAATATCAGAAATGTGTACTATCACTTGAGTTAGAAAGAGCTTTTGCGAAGGACATAAACCAGTCTTTCTCAAACAGTGCAATAACATCCTCCGATCTGACCCCGGGAGAAACTGGCCGCTCAGCGAATGCGCAGGGTCACGTTCCGAGCGCGGACCATAGACGCGCGCGGTCACGTTCCGAGCGCGGACCATAGACGCGCGCGGTCACGTTCCGAGCGCGGACCATAGACGCGCGCGGTCACGTTCCGAGCGCGGACCATAGACGCGCGCGGTCACGTTCCGAGCGCGGACCATAGACGCGGGCGGTCACGTTCCGAGCGCGGACCATAGACGCGGGCGGTCACGTTCCGAGCGCGGACCATAGACGCGCGCGGTCACGTTCCGAGCGCGGACCATAGACGCGCGCGGTCACGTTCCGAGCGCGGACCATAGACGCGCGCGGTCACGTGCCGAGCGCGGACCATAGACGCGCGCGGTCACGTTCCGAGCGCGGACCATAGACGCGCGCGGTCACGTTCCGAGCGCGGACCATAGACGCGCGCGGTCACGTTCCGAGCGCGGACCATAGACGCGCGCGGTCACGTTCCGAGCGCGGACCATAGACGCGCGCGGTCACGTTCCGAGCGCGGACCATAGACGCGGGCGGTCACGTTCCGAGCGCGGACCATAGACGCGGGCGGTCACGTTCCGAGCGCGGACCATAGACGCGCGCGGTCACGTTCCGAGCGCGGACCATAGACGCGCGCGGTCACGTTCCGAGCGCGGACCATAGACGCGCGCGGTCACGTTCCGAGCGCGGACCATAGACGCGCGCGGTCACGTTCCGAGCGCGGACCATAGACGCGCGCGGTCACGTTCCGAGCGCGGACCATAGACGCGCGCGGTCACGTTCCGAGCGCGGACCATAGACGCGCGCGGTCACGTTCCGAGCGCGGACCATAGACGCGCGCGGTCACGTTCCGAGCGCGGACCATAGACGCGCGCGGTCACGTTCCGAGCGCGGACCATAGACGCGGGCGGTCACGTTCCGAGCGCGGACCATAGACGCGCGCGGTCACGTTCCGAGCGCGGACCATAGACGCGCGCGGTCACGTTCCGAGCGCGGACCATAGACGCGCGCGGTCACGTTCCGAGCGCGGACCATAGACGCGCGCGGTCACGTTCCGAGCGCGGACCATAGACGCGCGCGGTCACGTTCCGAGCGCGGACCATAGACGCGCGCGGTCACGTTCCGAGCGCGGACCATAGACGCGCGCGGTCACGTTCCGAGCGCGGACCATAGACGCGCGCGGTCACGTTCCGAGCGCGGACCATAGACGCGGGCGGTCACGTTCCGAGCGCGGACCATAGACGCGCGCGGTCACGTTCCGAGCGCGGACCATAGACGCAATAATTTTTTCCACATAGTTAGTGCCACTTAATTGCCAAACTTTTTTTTACTTATTGCATTGAGAAAGATGTGTTAGTCCCACATTATTATTGGTTGTTTTATTTCCTTTCCTGTATGGAAGTTTTTTTTATTATTCTACTGAAGGATTATAATAATTATAATAATAATGCATCATTTTATATAGCGCTTTTTTGGACACTCAAAGACGCTTCACATGTCATTATTCATTCACTCCATACACGGTGGTGATAAGCTACTAATGTAGCCACAGCTGCCCTGGGGCACACTGACAGAAGCGAGGCAACCAGTCTGTGCCATCGGCCCCTCCGACCACCACCAACCATTCACACACACACCAGACTCATTCTAGGCAATGGGAGTAAAGTGTCTTGCCTAAGGACACAACGGCAGTTTGGCACTTTACAGCCGCAGCCGCCCCACTGTGGCTGGTGTTCCCAGAGGTTAAGTGTCTTGCCAAGGACACAACGACAGTAGTCAGAGGGAGTCGATGGTGAAAGTCTTGAGCGGGGCTTGAACCCACGACCTTCTGGCTCAAAGGCCAACGCTCTACCAACTGAGCTACTGCCGCCTATTATAATAGTGTGTAAAAGTGTCAGCTCTCAAATTCTTTTGAAATCTTGTTTCTATCTGCTCCAGAGGCCGAGATGTCAATCATTCTGTAGACGTGAAATTTCTGCATTAAAAAGAAGCAAGAATAAAATCTTGATTAAGAACCGCGCGACAAATGAGTCTCTCTGGTCTCTCTCTCTGATCTCGCTCTCTCTCTCTCTCTCTGGTCTCTCTCTCTCTCTCTCTCTCTGGTCTCTCTCTCTCTCTCTCTCTCTGGTCTCTCTCTATCTCTGGTTTCTCTCTCTGGTCTTTCTCTCTGGTCTCTCTCTCTCTCTCTCTCTCTGGTCTCTCTCTATCTCTGGTTTCTCTCTCTCTCTCTGATCTCGCTCTCTCTCTCTCTCTCTGGTCTCTCTCTCTCTCTCTCTCTCTGGTCTCTCTCTCTCTCTCTCTCTCTGGTCTCTCTCTATCTCTGGTTTCTCTCTCTGGTCTTTCTCTCTGGTCTCTCTCTCTCTCTCTCTCTCTGGTCTCTCTCTATCTCTGGTTTCTCTCTCTCTCTCTGGTCTCTCTCTCTCTCTCTCTCTCTGGTCTCTCTCTATCTCTGGTTTCTCTCTCTCTCTCTGGTCTCTCTCTCTCTCTCTCTCTCTCTCTGGTCTCTCTCTATCTCTGGTTTCTCTCTCTCTCTCTCTCTGGTTTCTCTCTCTCTCTGGTCTCTCTCTCTCTGGTCTCTCTCTCTCTCTCTGGTTTGTCTCTCTCTCTCTGGTTTATCTCTCTCTCTCTCTCTCTCTGGTTTCTCTCTCTCTCTCTCTCTCTGGTTTCTCTCTCTCTCTCTCTGGTTTCTCTCTCTCTGGTCTCTCTCTCTCAGGTCTCTCTCTCTGGTCTCTCTCTGGTCTCTGGTCTTCTGGTCTTTCTCTCTGGTCTGTCTGTCTCTCTCTCTTTCTCTCTCTCTCTGGTCTCTGGTCTTCTGGTCTCTCTCTCTGGTCTCTCTCAGGTCTTCTGGTCTCTGGTCTCTCTCTGGTCTCTCTCTGGTCTCTGGTCTTCTGGTTTTTCTCTCTGCACACTCTTTCACTGCACAGCCCTGACCCTTGCTGTGGTCCTCAGGTGCCCTGGCCGTGCTGATCCCGGAGCTGGACCTGGTCATCTCCCTGGTGGGCTCGGTCAGCAGCAGCTTCCTGGCGCTGGTGTTCCCGCCGCTGCTGCAGCTGAGCGTGTTCCACAGCGAAGGCCTCTCTCCCCTCGTCTTCGTCAAGAACCTGGTGATCAGCGTCTTGGGCTTCGTGGGCTTCATGGCCGGGACTTACATCGCCATCGAGCAGATCATTGCCAGGAACAGCCTGAAAGCCACGCAGGCCACAGCCGCCTACATGGTGCAGTAGCTGAGTGGTTATCCCTGGAGGATTGTGGGACTGGTCCAGATTCCTTTCTCTGTGATGTGTGTTCTGCTCTGTGTGCGTTCAGCTCCTTCCACCGAGATGTTTGCGGTAAAATGGTTGGATTTGGCTACAGCTGTAAAAACTAAACAATACATATATGTGTCTATGGTACGACTGTAGACTGTATGTAAATGGACGATGCTAACATGCTAGCTCCATGTAGCCTCATGCTAAACTGCTGATGGATATATTTAGTCTCTCTCTGGTCTCTCTCTGGTCTCTCTCTCTGGTCTCTCTCTGGTCTCTCTCTCTGGTCTCTCTCTGGTCTCTCTCTCTGGTCTCTCTCTCTGGTCTCTCTCTCTGGTCTCTCTCTTTGGTCTCTCTCTTTGGTCTCTCTCTGGTCTCTCTTTCTGGTCTCTCTCTCTGGTCTCTCTCTCTGGTCTCTCTCTCTGGTCTCTCTCTTTGGTCTCTCTCTGGTCTCTCTCTCTGGTCTCTCTCTCTGGTCTCTCTCTCTGGTCTCTCTCTCTGGTCTCTCTCTCTGGTCTCTCTCTTTGGTCTCTCTCTTTGGTCTCTCTCTGGTCTCTCTCTGGTCTCTCTCTGGTCTCTCTCTCTGGTCTCTCTCTCTGGTCTCTCTCTCTGGTCTCTCTCTCTGGTCTCTCTCTCTGGTCTCTCTCTCTGGTCTCTCTCTTTGGTCTCTCTCTTTGGTCTCTCTCTGGTCTCTCTCTGGTCTCTCTCTGGTCTCTCTCTCTGGTCTCTCTCTGGTCTCTCTCTCTGGTCTCTCTCTGGTCTCTCTCTCTGGTCTCTCTCTGGTCTCTCTCTCTGGTCTCTCTCTCTGGTCTCTCTCTCTCTGGTCTCTCTCTTTGGTCTCTCTCTTTGGTCTCTCTTTCTGGTCTCTCTCTCTCTCTGGTCTCTCTCTCTGGTCTCTCTCTCTGGTCTCTCTCTCTGGTCTCTCTCTTTGGTCTCTCTCTGGTCTCTCTCTCTGGTCTCTCTCTCTGGTCTCTCTCTCTGGTCTCTCTCTCTGGTCTCTCTCTTTGGTCTCTCTCTTTGGTCTCTCTCTGGTCTCTCTCTGGTCTCTCTCTGGTCTCTCTCTCTGGTCTCTCTCTCTGGTCTCTCTCTCTGGTCTCTCTCTCTGGTCTCTCTCTCTGGTCTCTCTCTCTGGTCTCTCTCTCTGGTCTCTCTCTGGTCTGATGGATATATTTAGCTCCATATTAAGATTTGAAATGACTGATTATGATCCAGGGGTGTCGTGGAAAACTATACCAAGCAGACGGAAGGTTTTTGATGAATGGGAAACGCAAAAATCATGTTTAAATTCAACATTCACTACAATAGGCTGCGTTCATGTGATACAAGTTCCGTTTTTCTAAGGCTGCCAAGAATGAAGAATGGGAATGAAGCAGTTTTTTAAATAGTAAAAAAAACAAATACATTTTACAATATGAAAAAAAGAATTTGAACGTGTATATAAAGATTTTTGTTCCCATAGTTACCAGAAAACGATTTATCAGCTGCCTCCACCACAACGATAAACCATAGTCTGTTTTGGAAGATAGTAATATTCTCAGATCTCGCTCGCTGGTCTCTCTCTGGTTCTCTGTGGTCTCTCTCTCTCTGGTCTCTCTCTAGTCTCTGGTTCTCTGGTCTGTATCTGGTCTCGCTCTCGCTCTCTCTGGTCCTTCTCTGGTCTTTCTCTCTGGTCTCTCTCTAGTCTCGCTTTCTCTCTCTGGTTCTCTGGTCTCTCACCGGTATCTCTGGTCTTGTTTTCTGGTCTCGATCTCTCTCTCTCTAGTATCTCTCTCTGGTCTCTCTCTCTGGTCTTTCTCTGGTCTCTCTCTCTGGTCTCTCTGGTCTCTCTCTGGTCTCTCTCTGATCTCTCTCTGATCTCTCTCTGGTCTCTCTCTGGTCTCTCTCTGATCTCTCTCTGATCTCTCTCTGATCTCTCTCTGGTCTCTCTCTCTCTGGTCTCTCTGATCTCTCTCTGGTCTCTCTCTGGTCTCTCTCTGGTCTCTCTCTGGTCTCTCTCTGGTCTCTCTCTGGTCCCACTGACTTGTGTGGATTGACTCTGGGATTAAAGATAAAATAGCCCAAAACTAAAACTATAAATTTGGCTGTTGGCTCCTCCCATAGTCACCAGAAACAATCTTACCAGCTGCCTTCACCACGAGGACAAACTATGGTCTGTTTTGGAATATTGTGATGTCACATGAACGCAAACTAAGTCAAATCTCCCCAAAATCAAACCAGCTCCTCTTGGTGTCGTGTTAAAACTATGAACAAATAATGTGTGAATAATCAAACTTGTTTAAACATGATTCTGATCACGTAGAGAACCAGGAAGTGAGATGCTGCTCGATGCTGATTGGCTTGTCACCAAAACAAACCAAATTTAAACGCTCTATGACCATATAAGGCTTTAGCGATCGCCACATGGTAGTGAACGGTCAGTGTGAGACTTTTCTGGTGCTTTTGTCCCTGTGAGTCAGTGCTGTCCCTGTGAGGAGTCAGTGCAGTCCCTGTGAGGAGTCAGTGCAGTCCCTGTGAGGAGTCAGTGCAGTCCCTGTGAGGAGTCAGTGCAGTCCCTGTGAGGAGTCAGTGCAGTCCCTGTGAGTCAGTCTGCAGTCCCTGTGAGTCAGTGCAGTCCCTGTGAGGAGTCAGTGCAGTCCCTGTGAGGAGTCAGTGCAGTCCCTGTGAGGAGTCAGTGCAGTCCCTGTGAGGAGTCAGTGCAGTCCCTGTGAGGAGTCAGTGCAGTCCCTGTGAGGAGTCAGTGCAGTCCCTGTGAGGAGTCAGTGCAGTCCCTGTGAGGAGTCAGTGCAGTCCCTGTGAGGAGTCAGTGCAGTCCCTGTGAGGAGTCAGTGCAGTCCCTGTGAGGAGTCAGTGCAGTCCCTGTGAGTCAGTGCAGTCCCTGTGAGTCAGTGCAGTCCCTGTGAGGAGTCAGTGCAGTCCCTGTGAGGAGTCAGTGCTGTCCCTGTGAGTCAGTGCAGTCCCTGTGAGTCAGTGCAGTCCCTGTGAGTCAGTGCAGTCCCTGTGAGTCAGTGCAGTCCCTGTGAGTCAGTGCTGTCCCTGTGAGTCAGTGCTGTCCCTGTGAGGAGTCAGTGCAGTCCCTGTGAGGAGTCAGTGCAGTCCCTGTGAGGAGTCAGTGCTGTCCCTGTGAGGAGTCAGTGCAGTCCCTGTGAGGAGTCAGTGCAGTCCCTGTGAGGAGTCAGTGCAGTCCCTGTGAGGAGTCAGTGCAGTCCCTGTGAGGAGTCAGTGCAGTCCCTGTGAGTCAGTGCAGTCCCTGTGAGTCAGTGCAGTCCCTGTGAGGAGTCAGTGCAGTCCCTGTGAGGAGTCAGTGCAGTCCCTGTGAGTCAGTGCAGTCCCTGTGAGTCAGTGCAGTCCCTGTGAGGAGTCAGTGCAGTCCCTGTGAGAGAGTCAGTGCAGTCCCTGTGAGGAGTCAGTGCAGTCCTGTGAGGAGTCAGTGCAGTCCCTGTGAGGAGTCAGTGCAGTCCCTGTGAGGAGTCCAGTGGCAGCTCCCTGTGAGTCAGTGCAGTCCCTGTGAGTCAGTGCAGTCCCTGTGAGGAGTCAGTGCAGTCCCTGTGAGGAGTCAGTGCAGTCCCTGTGGAGTCAGTGCAGTCCCTGTGAGTCAGTGCAGTCCCTGTGAGGAGTCAGTGCAGTCCCTGTGAGTCAGTGCAGTCCCTGTGAGTCAGTGCAGTCCCTGTGAGTCAGTGCAGTCCCTGTGAGAGTCAGTGCAGTCCCTGTGAGTCAGTGCAGTCCCTGTGAGGAGTCAGTGCAGTCCCTGTGAGGAGTCAGTGCAGTGCAGTCCCCTGTGAGGAGTCAGTGCGTCCCTGTGAGGAGTCAGTGCAGTCCCTGTGAGGAGTCAGTGCAGTCCCTGTGAGAGTCAGTGCAGTCCCTGTGAGGAGTCAGTCGTGGCAGTGCCCTGTGAGGAGTCAGTGCAGTCCCTGTGAGTCAGTGCAGTCCCTGTGAGTCAGTGCAGTCCCTGTGAGGAGTCAGTGCAGTCCCTGTGAGGAGTCAGTGCAGTCCCTGTCCTCCCTGTGAGTCAGTTGCAGTCCCTGTGAGTCAGTGCTGTCCCTGTGAGGAGTCAGTGCAGTCCCTGTGAGGAGTCAGTGCAGTCCCTGTGAGTCAGTGCAGTCCCTGTGAGTCAGTGCAGTCCCTGTGAGGAGTCAGTGCTGTCCCTGTGAGGAGTCAGTGCAGTCCCTGTGAGGAGTCAGTGCAGTCCCTGTGAGGAGTCAGTGCAGTCCCTGTGAGTCAGTGCAGTCCCTGTGAGTCAGTGCAGTCCCTGTGAGGAGTCAGTGCAGTCCCTGTGAGTCAGTGCAGTCCCTGTGAGTCAGTGCAGTCCCTGTGAGTCAGTGCAGTCCCTGTGAGTCAGTGCAGTCCCTGTGAGTCAGTGCTGTCCCTGTGAGTCAGTGCAGTCCCTGTGAGTCAGTGCAGTCCCTGTGAGTCAGTGCTGTCCCTGTGAGTCAGTGCAGTCCCTGTGAGTCAGTGCAGTCCCTGTGAGTCAGTGCTGTCCCTGTGAGTCAGTGCAGTCCCTGTGAGTCAGTACTCTCTCTCTGGTCTCTCTCTGGTCTTCTCTCTCTCTCTCTCTCTCTACTCTCTACTCTCTACTCTCTACTCTCTACTCTCTACTCTCTACTCTCTCTCTCTGGTTTTACAGCCTTAAACAGCTGCTACTTCACAGATTTCACTTCTTTGTCCAACCTAACCCTGTGATAAACTAAACCTGATCCAAAATGTCCAAATGACCCAGAAAAGTCCCATAATGCACCTGTCGTCATTAAACCTACCTCACAGGGACCGTTGGTGACATCATCGTGGATACTTTTGTTCAACATTCTCTTCCTTTGATCTTTCCGCACTTTAATATTTTGTTTTGCCTTATTTGGTGTGAAACAGTGCAATATTGTGATCCTGTAAATGTCTGAAGAAGTGCATGTGACAGACCCCTCCTCGTCTGCGAGACCCCCCACAGGGACCTGCAAAAGTATCCATACCCTCTTTGAACTCCTTAC